CAGCAGCAGCTATGCCACCAGCAGCAGCTATGCCACCAGCAGCAGCTATGCCACCAGCAGCAGCAGCAGCTATGCCACCAGCAGCTATGCCCAGTCCAAGACCCTACTGCAACCCTGGTGGGGGCTCTCAGGGACCTCCATAGCACCAGTGGGAGCTGTGTAATATTTCTGTGCTAGCCATCACATCACTCACATTTACTCCTTTTGGCCCTGTTTGCTCCTCGAATAAATGTGCAGCTGCAGATGCTGAGCTCGAGCAGAAAGCGTAAGGATTTACATCCAACTGGGGAGAGGTTTATAGCAGAACAGCAGATCCTGCTGCTGGGGATGCATCCTCCTCTACTTCCTCCCTCCAATGCTGTGGAGCTAACAATGCTAAAGTCCCCAAAGAGCAAAAGATGCTATTGTTTGGGGGACCCATTTCAGCTCTTCAGCCAAACCACACCTAGGGCACAGGCTGCAGGCATAGCCTGTCTGGGGTGCCAAGGCCAGCAGTAGGTCCAGGCTGAGTGTAATGCTATAATGTGATGTAAAGTATAGCAATAATAACAGAGTGGCACAACCCCAGGCTGCAGCAAACAAGAACAAGCCCAAATACAGCAGTTGTAGACACAGAAACAATGGAAAAAAAACCTGCTTACCTTTGAAAGGCCTTTGTTATGTAGGAACCTCCAGTGAGATACCCTCACCTCCACTGCCAACCCTTAAATGAGGGTTGGGAAGGGGTGGATCCTGGCTCCACCTCTTCTGGTCACTCAGGGGCATTGCTAGCATCTGAGCTCCCTTGGGTTGGCCCTGCCTTCCCACCAGGTGCTCCATCACTGCTTCAGGCTGTGACTTAGCATTTCCACTATACTGAGGATGAGCATTGCTCTGTATTTCATTCCCTGACATCTCTGCTCCATTAACTCAGACAGGCCCCAACACTGTGGCAATAAATGCACATGCGTGGCGGTGCTTGCCTGCTGCAGCACTGTGCTCTGAAGTGCTTCTATTTGGATGAACAGAGTGATTCTGAATTCAAAAAAGGTTAATTATGGCTGCATTTTTCTGTGCTTGGTTTATAATGGACAGGGAGAGGCTATGCTTAGGCTCCCAGTTGAAGCATGAAGAACCATTCCCAATCCTAACAGGTCCCTGGGATGAGGCAGAGCCCTCTCTGCATTTCCACCACTGATGCACTGCCTGATAGAAGTTAGGCATCAAAAATAAAACACCCACCAAGCCCAGACATCAGTAACAGAGCACAGAAATCCATAACAGCAGCAACGCTCAGAGGGCTGCCCTATGCTCGCTGCGCTGGATGCTCTCCCATTCCCCAGCCATCAGCCCTCACTCAAGCTGCCTTTATTTAAGTGGTTGGTGCTTCGCAGATTACTTCCAGGCCCCTCAAGGGTAGAAAGTCTTTTTACCTCCTCCGGCCCTGAGACCGTTCCAACAGCTGTAACTATTTCATTTTTAATTTACTTGATACAACTTGTCTCTGCTTAATCCATCAGGACAACGTTGAGGGTTCCTGACCCATAAATTCAGGGTGGGAGGGTAGGGGGGTGCTGGGGGAAAGGGAAAAAAAAAATGAAGAAGGGAAAGGATTTTGAAAAATTGTGTCTAGATTGCAGCCAAATGTGTTCTCTTAACTCACTGCAAAATGCAAGGCTGGGACCCGGGAGCGAGGAAGGACCTCAGCTTTTATCACGGTGACACACATACACCCCCAGACTGAGATGTTTCATCAACTTAAACCTCTGAAATTTTTCTGGAATAGATTTAATTCCCTTTTCCCTGCTAACCAATTCCTCTTATTTAACACAGACACTAAAGTGAAAAATAGCACCTCACTGCAAATATGCAAATATGCACAAATGCACCCTGAATTTCTGAAGGCAACACATCCCATCCTCCAGGTGCCATTCCCTCTCCATTGCCCACTGCCTAATGTTCTCTGCATTGAGTAGGAAATGGCACTGCACTAAACCAATCAGCTGACATTGGGCTGATCAGCTACGGGTGGGCATTGATTACAGGAAGCGCTTTGAGTGCTTTGATTACAGGAAGAACCCTGGGCAATGATGTGTGATTTAAGGCCCATCGTCACACATTGAGCAGGAGAGACCGAAAATAAGCCACAATGAACAAAATAATTACACTCTAAAATATTAATGCATACATAGAATCACTGAATCATTAAGGTTAGAAAAGGTCTTAAGATCCCCAACCCATCCCACCATGCCCACAAACACGTCCCTCAGTGCCACATCCCCAAGGATGGTGACTCCCATACTCCCTGGGCAGCTGTGCCAGCGCACAACTGCTCTTTCTGAGAAGAAATCTTTCCTAACAACCAACCTGAACCTCCCCTGGTGCAACGTAAGGCCATCACCTGCCATCCTACTGCTGGTAGAGACCAACCACCGCCAACACGAGTGTGAATAACCACACAGCCACACCGTGATCACTCCCAAAACAAAGAACATGCATCAAGAAAGCGGCTTAGCTTTGGAAATCTCACTTCTTTGCAGTTGTCCTTGTCCTCTACCAGCTCCCCACGTGTGGACAGCAGCACCGCAGGGGTAGAGCTGCTGTGAAGTGAGAACTTTTCGAGCTGGAGAATTTTTCGGCCTCACAAAAGGCAAAAAAAATTCACCCCAAAACCCCTCTTCAAAACCCCACGTCTCCATTTCTCACTTTGTGTCACTGCAGTCTGTGTAACAATGCCTCAGTTTATTGGGAAAGACAAGAGGGATTTTTTTCAGAATTACACGTAGATATAGAAACCATATAGGAAAGGTTCTAATTATAACTATTAAACTCAGAGAATAAAGGGATACAGTATTCCTGGCTCACTTGGTGGTTAGGAGTTATGCAGTGCGTTCTCTGCTTTAAAATGTGTGGCAAACTGTGTAATTTTTTAAAGGAAGAATTACTTTCATTTTATTAAAGTCACCTTCAACATTGTTCTGCGTTGGGTGATTGACTTTGCCCCTTTTCCTGCCACTCTCGATGCAGAGCAGATGGGGAAGAGGTTTCCGTGAGACGTGCTGGAGGCATGCTTTAAAAAATAATAATACTGGTAAGGCTAATACTAATAAAACATAATAATAAGAGCCCTCTGATGTGTGGACTCTTTTTGGTTGGCTCCTCTTGCAATTCTCGGAGACCACGTTTTAAAATTGCTGGGTGATGATTATCGGGGGATTAGGGATTAGCGTGGTGGTTTGACTGCTTGTCAAAAGCCTTACAAGGATACACAGATTAAAATAATTCCCTTTTCTTTCCCCCTTCTCATCAATAATGAAGCAGATGATTTTAAGCCCCACG